CCTCTAGCGATACTTTTTCCCCCCGTGTTATCTGGAGCACCCTGGACATGAAGACAAAACTTGGTAGAGGGGCATATGGAGAGGCATGGGCAGCTCTCTTAAAACAAGATGATGGCTCCGTTTACCAAGGGTCCGTCGTCAAGAAGCTCTTCGACGACGTTTATCTGAAAAAAAGCTGTTAAGGAACCCAGAGCCCCTTCTCAAGGTTGATGGCCCCGGTGGAGCTCCCAAAACTTTATGGCTGATTTACGATCCTTTGGTATTGTTAAATGTCCCGCTGCCCCGGAGTAAACTTTCGCAAAATTTATAGGAAAAAAATTCCGCTGGAAGATTGCTTTAAGGCACATAAAGCTGCTATAAGAGCATTAATGGATTTTCACCAGACCGGTTTTGCCCATAATGACATAACAGAATCAAATATAATGATTAGAAAACAAGGTCAGGATTACGTAGCCCATCTTATTGACCTCGGCCTTGCCGTAGATAGAACATTAAAACCCAAACTTCATAAGATGAAAATTAAAGAAGATAAAAGTCGTCTAAAAGAAATTCGTGGCTTTATCATGCAAGACAAAAATAGCAGAGAATGGTGAGCTGTTAAACCCAGGATCAAGATTCTACCTTGAGTTGTCAAACCCAGGATCAAGATTCTACCTTGAGTTATCAAACCCAGGATCAAGATTCTACCTTTAGTTATCAAACCCAGGATCAAGATTCTACATTGAGTTATGAAACCCGGATCAATATTCTACCTTGAGTTATCAAACCATCAAGAAACTACTCCACCTGCCTACTTGGAGACAAAGCCAGAGTCTGTACAGGATATCTTGGACTGGGAAGCAGAGTATAATATCGACCTAGAAGCTCTCCTTCACTGAACCAATCGTTCAGCCCTAGGGACCCCAAATCACTCGTAGTGATCAAGAACAACTACATCCACTGAAGAAGACCACCAAGTATATGAGGATATTTTCACGGATTAAAAAGTTTTTTTTTTTTTAAGTTTTAAAGAAGGTAATATTATTATTTTAAGTGAAAGGACTGATTTTAGTTGAGGTGATAGTAAATAAAAAATTATACATTGGAGTTTGACTGTGTGAATATTGCAGTTTAAAGTGCTTTAGAAAAAATGCGTTATGGGAGTGTTTTATGGTGACATGTATGGTTGTAATGTATGGTGATGTGCATGGTAGTATGTATGGTGACGTGTTTGGTAGTGCGTTTGGGGGCGTGAAATGGTGTGATGTTCATGGTGAGTGTATGGTAGTTGTTGGTGGCGTGAAAGGTGGTGTTTGTATGTGACGTGTAGGGTTTAGTTTGTATGGTGACGTGTATGGTAGTGATGTATGGTAATTTATATGGTGACGTGAATGGTAGTGATGTATGGTGAAGTGTATAGTGTTATATGGTGACGTGTATTGTAGTTTTGTATGGTAGTGCCGTATGATGACATTGTGACGTGTATGGTAGTGTAGTAGTGATTTGTAGTGATGTATAGTTAGTAAGCAGGTACCTGGGTGTTATTGGACTGGTGTGGGTCACATCCTGGAGACATAATTGACATAATTTGCCTGAAATACTCTGCATAACAAGGTGCTTTCTATATAGTATGTCAGCTAGGACTCTGTACACGTACTTGTTGAAATAAATATTATTATTACTGGGTGCAACGACTGCCCAGATCTGGGCAGGTAATGGAAAGGAAACAAGTTTCCTCAAAATATGAAAAATATATTCGAAGTTAGGTCAGGTGGACCCCGATGGTTAAACCCTGAC